CATTATAATGATGAGCTCCACATGTAGCATCTAAGTCAACATTGTTTCTATTTAGTGATGAACTTCATATGTGGTGACTGGGTCGACCTTGCTTCCATTGTAGTGATGAACCCCAACCTTAGCCAACATAGCATAGCATATTATTCAATTTCACTAAGTACCAAAGCTCCTCACCACATCCTTCGACCCTACCGCCTTTGACCGGCATCACTTCATGTGACTTCCGACTTTGGGTCATACTAATCCTCATATGGGCTCATTCTATTTTCCCTCCCACGTGGCATGCTTGTGGCTACTCTCATGATATTTTCCATTTATAGTCAAGTCAAAAAATCCAGTGTAACAGAGTTGTTCGGATGATTACTCTTCAATCTTTGTTTCCATGGGTTATGTCCCTTCAAGAAAATATAAAATTACCACACAGATTCAAATACATATATAAATGACCATATTATTGGGGAATTTCTCTTTCCACCTTTAGGGGTTCTCCCCCACCACCATGAAAAGACTCAAACGTCTCTAGTGTCCGGAGATGCATCTCCGGACGCATCTTTTTCACACACAATTGAGATGCAAATGGTGAATTATCGCATCCACTTTAATTTGACTATTTGTTGAGTAACAGTAAAAGGCACTCCACATAACCTTCAAATCATCATTTGTCTTCAATTCAAGCATGGTGAACTATGTCTTCCCTTCGTTATCTATCGAGGGTGAATGGTGTTCGATATTGACAACTCTCTGATTTTTTGATCGCATGAGACTATTTAGTTTGGTTTTCAGATCGACGAGAAGTATGTTCTTGCAAATCCAAAATTAAAGCGGGGTTTTGCGCAATTGAAATACACAAACGCAAGATGGGTCTAGAAAAGTGATCCAACCATGTTTCAGCATCTTATGTGAAATGCGTCGTCCACTCCGGTGATGTCGTTGGTATATGACATTCCGGTTTCAAATAAACTTGGACAAAATGTATTCTTTTTTATAGTTAGCCAATACACATGATGCGCTCAGACAGATTTTTAGGTGACTTACTATGAAGTGGGAAGAATGTTTCCGAGAAACCATGTCGTGTTAAATCAATACACACCCTATCATAAGCATTTGCTATAAGGTTTCTCATTTTTTTAAAACACATCTATTTGTCAAATGGAGTTGGGCCCGTAAGACAAGGAACTAGAGCAATGAGAATTGCATCGTAATTTGATTTATTATCGTATAGCTTTGTGTATTATTCTCTATGTGTTGTCATCTCTTGTATAAGATGATGGTGGACAAATTGGTAGCCGTCCTCTCCTTTACCGAGCAAACCTGAAGCAGATTGAAAACCATAGTTGTTGTCACATTCATCATCTACAATCCGCTCAGTGTATTTATGCATAAAAACTGACATCTCTTCAATATGTTTGATTTTTGGTAACTAGTGTGTGGAAGATGGTTTGCTAATGTGAGCCCCTTAAAAACACTCTTTTGGGATCTTGGAGTCGGAGAATCTAAAAAATGTGAGTAAACATGTTTAAGATCTGAAGGAGACCGTCTCGTTGAGTTGTCATTTTGTGTCAGTTTGACCTTTTTAGAAGCACCTTTTGTTTCAGCCGATTTTGACGGTGGTTGTTAATCTGTTGTTTCTGAATAAGCAATATTCCTCATTTGTTCTTTGATGTACAATTTCATGATGTCATCAGCTTTCATGAATCTCTCGTGGATCACTTTCCACTCGGTCATGATAGATATGTTTGATTTATCATCCTTCATCACACCATCATCATCAAAACGAAGCATTTTTCAATGAGTGCAAACTTCATCCATACATATTGATTTTTCAAGCTCCATCTTCTTTGAAATTAAACAAACACGCTTCGAATTATCTGAACCTATTTTATCCACTCGCTTGGCTTCATGAAAAATAAAATTCAAAGTCGCTTGAGATATGTTGTCAACCAATTGTGAATAAAGAATGTTGTCTTTGAAGCAGTGTTCTAACACAATAATGCTCCGACAAAAAGATATTTGTATCTCATTGTGTTGGTCTAAGAGTATTTGGTCCACAGAATCCCAATCTCGAAAAAAATTACCTTTTGTTTTCCCAATCAATTCTTCAATCTAGCATGTGCTTATTCAACTTTGTTAGTTGTTGTATTGCCAAAGTATCGAACCTGAACGGTCTATGCACAAACAATATCCTCTTTTACCTAATCTAGAATAGTGCCCTCAATATATTTTAGCAAATCTGGATATATCGCACACACACTCCTAAAATGTAGAACAGAGTCGGCATATAATTTTTCCGTGGAAGAAATTATTATATAATTCCATGCATCAATTATATTTTCCACCACCACATCAGGTTTGACAAGTTTTCCATCTTCACGTTTGACTTGTTTCATGCCAACCGTAGGTTTTACTCGATTTCTCACATTTTTGGTTATGTAATACTTACAAAGTAAGGCGGATGATGTAGGAAACATTGTCGCAACCGAATTCATCAGTTCGGTGTCACGATCGTGATTATGACTTGTGACATGTTTTCTTAGTCCTTCAACATAATCTTTCACATTTCCAAAGCCTGTGTAACATTGTCCTCTTTTTCGGATTCCAAAAATGTGAAACCAACTGAATAAGTCATCTCCATAAAAGTAACACCAACGATTTCCAAGAGTGGAAGTCTATACTTGTTTATATATATATATATATATATATATATATATATATATATATATATATATATATATATATATATATATATATATATATATATATATATATATATATATATATATATATATATATATATATATATATATATATATATATATATATATATATATATATATATATATATATATATATATATATATATATATATATATATATATATATATATATATATATATATATATATATATATATATATATATATATATATATATATATATATATATATATATATATTAAGTCAATTATGAGCAAGGAGGGAAAAGTGTTGAAAAACTTGACAGAACCCAGATGACTCCAAAATATATCTTGAAAGATGACTATATCCTCACAAACTATGTACCTCGAAACATAGTGGTCATCATCCAAAAGGTTCAAGAGTTGTTGCATCTCATATCTTGGTCTTCTTACGGCCTTGTTGTCTCGGGCACGCACGTTGTATATTTTCTTGATATTTGAAATATTTAGATGTCTTTTTCATTTCAAAGATGCGAGTACGTTTTTCAGCACCACCATGTTTAATGTCATGTTCGAAACAAGTTCCCTCTCCTCTAACACAAGGCGACATACAATGGGATGACCGACTAACTTGTCATTCAAGGCATGATTATGCATAGGGGATATCACATTAAATTTTCATGTCTCATCTGCCATACGGTATCTGCGCAATTGAAACGGACACTCACATTCCTCGATCCAGTGTCATCTCGTTTTAACTTCCTAATATTTGGTTGGTATGTGCCACTTCTTTCGCATATCATTGTTACAAATGTTTGTCTTCTATCTGAACCATTGTCGGACCTTCCGATTACAACGCCAAACCCCAATTTTTTTGCCTCCCTACGAACTCATTGTAGCATATGTTCACGAATAATAAACATTTCTTTATTTTTAAATTGTGCACGAACATCTACCTCGACAACAATCGGCCAAACGCCTGATTTAACATCATCATTTGCTTCATCCAATTTAACTTATCATTCACTTCATCCGGTTTAACATCATGATTCACCTTGACCAGCTTAACATCCACACTCACAATAGTTTTAAGAAACATATGCGGGTGCACCATATCTATTACCATCAACGATACAAAAGCAACATGAAGCTCAAACTATCAGGACAACCCGGAGACGAACATTTGGACCACACCTAACTTCGCCCGAAGATGCATATCCAAATTCAACATCCATTTTCCAACTCATAAACAAGATTAATACAAGAAATGAGGGATGAGATAAATGATCTCATAAACAAAATTAATACAAGAAATGGGGGATGAGATGAATGATCTTTATCTGTAATTTCAGCCTGTTTTGCTCTCTTTAAAATGATGAAATTAAATAATTATGTTTTTATGTTGAAAAATTGATTGAGAATGAGAAAAAAGTTTTTTAAAGTTTTTGCAATGGAATATGTTTTTAGCATAAAAGAAGAAAATCATGCAAGGTTGTGTTTTATCAAATTTTACGTTGGGCATTCCGAAGATAATCTCCAGAAATATTACTAAGTTGTTATTTAAATTAGTTGTGTGAATAACAAAACTCCATGAATGAGTGCAGAGGTACTTTAGATATGCATCTCCGAATACACCTGAATATTAACAAAGATGTATCACCGAATCATTATTTTTTAAACCGAGATGAAACTCAAAAAAGAGAAGATTGATGTAATTTTAGGTACATCCAAAAATATATTTATAGACGCATGAAAGATATTTTCAGGTTTAAAGAGTATAGGAGGCACCACTAAGGATAGAAAGAGCACTTCCTTAGTATTGGGTGCTAATATCGTCATTCATTAGTAAACCTAACAAACTATGCATAGTTTCATAATAGAAACAAACTATAGCTAGTCCTGGAAAACAGAGAGGACGCAAATCATTACGATAAAGAGTTTCACCAGTGAGTAACTCATTTAAAGTTAGGAAAAAATGTATTATACATATGATTCTCCTCTTTTTATTTCTTACCAAACCATAATAATACAACAGACGCTGGTAGGTTTAACCTGCACACCAGCATTTCACCTATATAACTTTACAAAAATGTAGTAAAAGGGGACAAAATTGGAAATTATCTATAAATATGCTATCACTAATCCTCCCTCTATACAAGGACGTGGCAGATAGTTAACAGATCAGCTTTCTTTCAAAGAAAGCATAATGCCAAAGAGAAGATTGCAATGGTCATGAAGCTGTATATGAACTAGTTGATAGTTGTTGCCACCATCCTCTTCGACAATCTAAAATTTGACCGCTGATATAAAAGCAAAAGTTGATAGTTTTACATAACAGGAATTTGGAAGCTTTCATTGTTGACATGATGATGCAGTTGCTTTTGAACAGCTTTGACAGCAGCGACTCTAGCTGCATTGGCTGCTCTATTTGCTGCTGATACTGCTCTGTTTACCCTTTCATCTACCTTGCCCACATCATAGGCTTTCTCCGCTGCTCGTTTTGCTTCCTATTTGTGAAACAAATAAATAGGATCAATTGTTGTAAATGAAGTATTTTTGTAATTATTAGTCAAAATTGTATTCTGCCCATTAATCAGAACCATTAGAAAATAACATTTAACAAGAATTAAGGGAAATCAAAAGACATAAACAATCTACCTGCACAGCATTTAGTACTTTGGAATGATTGACGCCAACAGGAGAAACTGGGTAAATGGTGTTCTGTGTGCTTGGAACATCGAGGACTCCATTTTGCCAATGACCAGACTGGGTTTCGCCGTTTCTAAATGTATACATACCAAGTCCTTGCCTTCTTCCCTCATGCCAGGCTCCTTCATATCGATGGCCATTTGCAAAACGGTATGCCCCAAATCCATGCATTTTGTCGGCAAAGTATTCCCCCGCATATGTGTCTCCGTTTCTAATCAAGTAGAAAATTTCAGTTACAATGAAAAATCCAGCATATTAACTTTTAAAAGTGAGAAAAGATAAAGGTAGCATACAAATCTATTCATAATTCAATTGAACAATACTTGTCAAAAGAAACATTAGAAAAATTTTACAATACTTATGAGTTAATTGAGCAATAGCTTGTTTGTAAGTTAGAATTAGCTTACGCCTCTCAATTACTACATAAATTCTCTCATTTAACTTTGCCATAAAGAATTAAAGTATAAGCTTATAAAGAATTAAAGAATAAGCTTATAAAGACCTTTTTGTAAGTGAAGAACCATAAATCTATTTAATTGAAAAGCTCTCTTAAGCTAGAAGCTAATCCAAACCAGACAAAAAAACTAAAAAGGATTCCAACAGCCAAATAAAAGTACACAACATCTCAACCATTCCAAAAAGCTTTTCTACAACAGCATGGTCCCAGAGCAATCCAAGATGAAATGTGATACATTGTCATCAAGATTCATGACAACAACAAAAAAACAAAAGAAAAATCTTGTCCTTACGATTTTGTTTGACTTATGCCTAGTGGTATGTAAAAGCTATCGTTTGAAACAAAAGATTTGCCTGACATCAAATACCATTTTTTCATGTGAAGAGAAAATAATGAAAATGAAAATAAATCCTTAAGATCCTATATGCATACTAGGCTACACTTCTTATTCAGTGCATCATTTTCTCCATTTCAGTTGCTATATTCCTCTCGGTGTACTATTAAATTAATCCTTAATAAAGACATCCCACCATAACTACTACAAACAACACAATAAAAACTACGATATTGGTTTTGAATCAACCCAAATTGTCTCTAAAGCCTAAGGTACTAAAATTGAACATCCTCAAAACAACAATATCACAACCATGGTTTTAAATCAACCCAAATTGCCTCTAAAGCCTAAGGTACTAAAATCAAACATCCTCAAAAGAACAATATCACAACCATGGTTTTAAATAAATAACAGTCAAGTAAAAAGGTCACTGTCGCAAATCGTGATTGTTGATATTGCATACCACAACCTATGAAGCATTGACACACAACACGGACACAATACCACCGGTAATAATTTGAAAAACTAGAATAATTGAATGTAACCAATAGTGTCGAGGTTCGTGAGACACCAAACATCCTTCAATCTGAGGTGTTAGTGCTACTAAGGTTCAACCAAGGCCGCATAGTGGTTTTGGCAACAACAAAAGCCACTGTACAGCACCATAGTTGCAAACATTTATTTAAAACCCTAATCACAACAATACATAACCATTATTCACCATTTTTATAATAAATAAAAAATTGTGATTAATTCCCACTGGGTGACCTGTATAGACCGAAATCGCGAAATTTTTTAGGCGATAGCAAGGCAGCCCATTTAAAACCTTGAGCTGAACAACAACTAAACAAAAAGAAAACAAGAAACAAACCTGAAATGGTAATGACCAAGGCCATGTTTAACACCCCATTTAAACTCTCCAACATATCTACTCCCATCTTCACAAGTATGAACACCACATCCATGACTCTGTCCATTGGACCATTCCCCGGCATAAACATCACCCGTATAAAACCTATAAACACCAAACCCATGTCTCAATCCTTGTCGATATTGCCCTCTATAACGACTCCCACGCGCCCATGTCTCAACACCATATCCATCATATCTCCCATCAATCCAATCCCCTTCATATTTCCCACTCATACTATAATAATACACACCACTCCCAGAACACTTCCCTCTATGAAACTCCCCTTCGTAAAAATCCCCGTTTCCGAAAACCTGAACCCAACAACCCGACCCTAACCGCTTCTCCGACTTCGGCCGCGATCCAATCGTCCAGAAAACAGGAAGAGGAGGAGGCGATCGCGAAGACGGAGACGACGAATGAAGTTTCCGGAGCGTGAGGTGAAGAGGAAAAGAACGTAGAGAAGGAAGCGCGATGTTGAGGGAAAATAGCAACGCGGTGGAAAAGGCCAAAGCGGTGAGAAAATCTAGAAAGAAAGACCGGGAAGCGAGGAGGTAAAGGTAGAGAAGCGGGAGAGATATTAAAAAGAGGGAACGGTGTTTCTTGAGGCGGCGGAGGATACGAAAGGCGGCGGAGGAAGTTGCGACGGTGAGAGAAAAGAACGGCGTATTTTGCGGCTTGAAAGGCGGTTTATTAACCGGAGGTTGTTTTTGCGGAAGCGTAGGTTGGGTTGGGGAGATGTCAATAGAGTGATGACGTGGACAGAGGTGTTGCCGTTGGTAATTCTGGTGGTGGTTGTGTTGAATCGGTGGTGTTGGATTGAAATCGGAAGAAACGCCGACGCTTTCTTTTCCGATTTGGACCTCTGATTTCTTTTGATGCATTACATATGCAAAGCAAAACAAGCTTATAACATAAGGTCTCAATTTGTAATTTGTTTTGGAGGTTAAGTTTGTATAGGGGTTGGGATGTGTTGGGATTGGAGATGAAAAAATGGAAAATGAATTTTATGGGTTTAGCGATTGTCTCTCTTTTGATTTATGTTATGAAATGGATGAGTTGTGTTGTTTTGTGTGTGAGAAAGAAACGGGGCGTGGGAGGAGTTTACGGTAATGATGATTGGAGAGCACACCATAGAGACATAAAAAGAAAAAAAAGAAAGGGAGGGGGAGATGAGAGTGTTTGAGAAATGAAATTGAATCTTATGCAGTCATGGTTTTGCTGCATTAAGTTGTTATTAACCATTCGATCTCGATCGCACTGATCATGAAAAAATGGGTTTGATTTTCTTTGAATTATTAGTTTTAAATTAGAACCGTTTGATCTTTATCGGACGGTTAGCTATGTTTGACTATGCGAATGCGGTGTTTTTTTTGGTTGCAGGGAATCTGGATTTTGTATAAAATTGTGATAGACTATAAAATGATAATTAAAGGAAAAGTATATTCCTTTTAGAAGTTGGGGACTGTTTGTGACGTTGGCTTCAAGGTAACATTTCGATTTGGTGATTGATGAGTTTCAAATTTGAAGACTTGGAGTTAATTGTTGAACTAACTTGTAAGGGCATGCTACAGATGAATTACATTTGAATTGGCCAATTACTAGTTTGTAAAGTGTCCTTTTATGGAGAAGAATTATTTAAATATAAAAATAATGTTAATTAATATGCTTGTATATTTGAAGAATCAAAGGAAATGAAGCCATTCTTGTATAGAATCCGATGTGTTTGCTACTTTAAAAAGTGGTTGACTTATATTAATAACCTTTTTAAATAATGTCTCGCCATTAGTTTCATAATAATGTATTGTTTAATCACTACTATAAAAAGAACTAAATTGATTAAGAAATTAGTTAAATATTTTTTTTTTAGGATATCTGACTCTATCTCTATAGAAGGATTTCTTAGATGATTGTTTTCTCTTGATAACTTTTTCTTTATAAGTAAATATTTTAGAGACAATAAATTCAAGAGAAAGGTGATTGTGGACCCTAATCTTACCATATTTCTGTTTTATTGTGATGTATATGTGTTGGTTGAAAAAAGCCAACTAAAAGTACTGACAGTAAAGGGGTCGAAGTCGACAGGAAATAGGAAGAGGCATCCTAAGTCGACAGTGCTTGTTGGCTGGGAAAAGCCAACAAAAAGTATTGGCAACGAAGTGTCGAAGTCGACGGGACTCAGGAAGATGCATCTTAAGCCGACAGCGCAGGAGAAGGTGCATGGTCGACTGGGACATGGGGTGGTCGACCAAGACGAGAAATGGGACAACTGACGAAGGGGTTTTGTTGTCTGGCAGGAAATAGATTTGAAAAAGGAGAACATGAGGGAAGTTACAAAAGTAGTGGCCCAACATGTGGCGGCACCAGAGGCAATCTGACGGTTATTTCACTTGCCTATATAAAGCAAAGTTTGGCTTCAAAAAAGGGTGTTTTTTGTCAGCATTGTAAGAAAAATACTCTGAGTACCGCACATTAAGAGAAAAGAGTTCCCCGTCCCTTATAAAATGTACGAACACGCCTGTCGCTACCGCGAAAATAAGGTGCCGGCAAAATAGAAGAGTCGCCACCTTTCGTTATTTATCCCACAGAAAGGAAAAGGAAACGATCGGAAAAACCTGACGAAAAGGTATAAGACAAGGTCATTGCAACCAATGTCTGGATTCGGGAGTCGGTTACGCAAGAGGAAGGTATTAGCACCCCTCACGTCCATCGTACTCGATGGGATCCACGCTTGTTGGTTTGTCTACGGGTGAAAAACAATCTAGCTACGGCTTCTAAGGCTAAACGGAACGAACTGACTCGATAGAGCATCGCGCTCTACGCCTACGTATTCCCTCGTGCAATGGGAAAGTCAGATTCAACGTAGTTCGGGAAACTACGGGGGGGATTTCCTCGCCGAGATATCGCATCTCGTGCCTACGTACTTGCACACGGCGTGAAAGATCAGAGCAAACATAGTTCGGGCTAACTACGGGTCACCGGGGTGTTCTCGATCACACGGGGGTGAGAGAAAGGATTGACGATACTAGCGTGCGCATTCTAGCAGTTAGGTGTATGTTGCTCGACCATTGGAGACTTAGGCATTACCTGTTTGCGATAGAACGGATGTAGTATGTCGGGTTTAGAGGTATGGGAACCTACGAGACTTAGAACTACGGTCTGGTCTCAATTACGCTCGGGCAAGAGAAAGGGAACATTAGTCGTCAGCGGGAAAATCTCGATCGCACGGCAGTGAGAGAACAAAGAAGTTAGTTATTAGTGTGATCGTTAGGATATCGCATCCTATGCCTACATATTCTCGTCTGGTATGAGAAATCAGAGCAGCTGTAGTTCAACTAACTTCAGGAAAGGGGAAAAAGGGATAAGGGAGCTCGCTAGGATCATCGCAATCCTATGCCTACGTACTCTCGTATGGTACGAGAGATCAGAGCAAACGTAGTTCGACGCTACGGGAAACAAGTCTCGATTGCACAGGGGTAAGAGAAGGGGTCTCAATCGCCTGAATGCGAGAGAAAAGGGTTTCGATCGCACAGGGGCGAGAACAAAGAGGAAGCAGGCCTAACACGCCTAAACGGGAAGGAACTCGGGACACACACGCAAGAACCTAAGACGTAGGAGCGAGTGTGTCGTATATCACCCAAGGGGTGCCACACTAAACACTCTAGACGATTGAGAGGAAGCCCCTCAACCACCATTTCCTACGTATCTAATGCCATAACTCACAACACTCGACGGTTGCACGAAGACTTGAACAAAAAAGATGTTATCGAACGAAACGGCTCCGTTGGCCCTCGACATGTGCGCAAGCTCCATTCCAATATTCTCCTCTCTGAATCCTTGATGATGACGTTCGAATCAAAACCAATGTAACGCTTAGACCGTCATGATTTGACTTATACGATAAATCAAACTCTAAGAGGAAGCGTATTGATATCCGTGTCAAAGACAAGATAGAGAAATGATATCGAAAATCATTCTCCAATTGAATCATGTCACACGGTCAGCTCGATATAAAATCAGAGTAAAATCATATGGCAGAAAAGAACTGAGGAGAGAAATCCAATAACAAGTGGAAATAAAATTCTACTCCTAAAATAAGCAATAAACTCCTAATAGAATAAAATCCCTAAAGAAATTCTAAGTAAATTGCATATAAGAAAATAACAGAATATAAATTCTATCTAAAACTCTATAATATCCTAAAAGAAAAATAGAATATAAATTCTAAAATATAAAATCTATATTAAAAATATGCTAAGAAATACTATCTAAAGCAAATAGGAAATTCTATGCATAACTCTATAAAAAAGAAAATGCTAATGGAATATAAATTCTAGAATATAAAATCTATATACGTAATATGTAATAATATTTTAAGAAAAAATAAACTATAATCCCTAAAAAAATAGAAAATAAAACTACAAGCTATTACAAGCAAATATCCAATACAAGCAAAAAATTAGAAAATAAAGGGAAGTGGGTACAGCCTGAATAGGGGTGTAAAGCAGCAAAAACAGAACTGGGCCCAGCCCACAATACATCAGCAAAGGAAACAAAAACAAAAAAGGGGACGGGGGCGTATGAGGAAAACGTAGGGTGCATCAGCAAAAAGTTGTTGTTGGGCCCTAAGCCCATCTGTCACAAAACAATAGCAAGGAAAGGGGGTACAGGGATGAAACTGGGTGGTACGGTCCAGAAGAGACAATTGAGCTTGTTTGTAGGCCCAAAACCAGAACAGCAGGGTGAGGGGTGTAACGGAAAACTGGGGAATGCAAGCAGAAAGAAAAAATCAAACGATTGGGCCTCGCGACCCATTAGCCCAAACCAAGTCCAAGGCTTTTCATCTTCCTCATTCCTTGTGGCCAGAAACCCTAGCCGCCGCTGCCTCTCAACCCTTCTTCGTCTGAAACCTCCTTCCCTCACCGTCTCGTCCTCAAACCTCTCCTCATCTCCACCTCTCCTCATCGTCTCATCTTCCCTCTTCGTCTCAATGTTCCTCACACGAAACTTCATCCGCCTTGCTCAAACTACAACTAGAAACGGACAAAATCCAATCGACCAAACTCACATCTCAAGGTGAAGATCCGCAGCGAGAACGAAGGTCAGAACCACGTTTTGGAGCTTGTGTTGCTTTGTCGTTGTTGATGATGGAATCGTGTTTGAATCTCAGATAAAGTTTGATGAAGATCCATGGTGTTTTGGAAGTTTGCATGTTGAAGTGGAGTTAGATCTAGAGAAATCTTGAAGAAATGATGAAGACGAAAGTTTGTTGAATGTTCTTGGACAAAAACGGAGGATGCATATTTTATGGAAAAATCTTGAACGAGATTAAGACATTCTCGCCGGAAAAAAGTTGTTGAAGGTTTATGGATCTTCGAAGAATTTGTTGTATGTTCTTGAAGTTGGATGAACAGCAGTGAAGTTTCTGGGGGATCTGGAAAAGTTAGTTAAAGCTGATGATGAACATTGGAGAAATCTAGAAAGTGGATCCGTGAAGATGATGAAGGTTGAACGAAGAAGATCTCGATGAAGATCTAGAAATTTCTTGGAGATCTGATGAAGGTGATGAAGGTCCTGGTGGATTGTTTGAGTTTTCTGGTGAGTTGCTGTTTTCTGATGACGGTTGCGGCGATATTTGGCCGGATTTGATTTCTCCGACGAGGGTGTCATCGTGTTTGCATGCCGGTCGGAGTGAGGCGGAGGTGGCGCTACGTGGCGCTTTGCATGGGAGAGAGAGGGGATGAGGTGGCAACGTGTGGAGACATGTAGGTGGTGATGTGTCAGCGTGTGGAAGAGTGGGAAAGTGAGGTGGAAGAGTGGGAAAGTGAGGTGGAAGAGAGAGAGAGAGAGAGAGAGAGAGAGAGAGAGAGAGAGAGAGAGAGAG